AAGTTGTATCTCCTCATTTCCATTGCTATTTGACTGGTCTTCCCGGTTTCCCACATTGTTCGAACGTTCCATGTACCTATAAAGATTTTTGCTCTGGTTGTTAGAAGGGGCATCGGCCTCGTGGCTTCCGAAGGAACTCGGCCTTCACCATGAAGCGTCATAATTCTTCTAAATGAAGACCTTCTGGTAAGCGTTTTTTAGCGAGTTAGTTTTCTATGGGATGGGGACGCTAACCCCATGCCCCAACCCTCCTCCTTTACCCGGGCTTGGGACCGGCAGTAACCCTATAAGAGCTACAGGCGGAGTTCAGTCCATAACATCTCGGAAAATTTAACTGAGCCACGTAGATAGCTGTAGACTACTATAATGATAATAATTATTATTATTACCAAAAAATCAAAAGAAAAATAATATATTGTATCGGTGTATTTGTGTGTTGTGTTGAATTTACCTGATGCGCATATATATTCTAAGTTGGTTACCGTGCACATTATTGACTGAGATTCTTTAATACGAAATATGGATGTTAGTGAATTATCTTGATAGGAAGCTAATTTAATAACAGCTACACAATAATTTTTAGACCAATATAAAATTTATGTAAGAACACAGAAATTGGAGGAATTCAAAAGTTTTTTGGAAATATTTTTACACAAATTGTGGTGAAATCAGTGTGTTGTTTTAATTCACTCTAGTTTTTTGCCATGAATTGTACAATTTACCACGGTAAAGCAATTTCAGTCATTCAAAGTAAGATGTATGATCAATAATTTTAACAGAAGTATCCATTTTCTTAATACCGAAGAAATACATTCAAAGGTAAACTTGAAACACCGTCTAATCTACCGTCAAAATGCATAACAAAAACCCGTCAAGTATGTTTGGTAAATATGAAGCAACGATCATTTAGTAGCCATGGTACTCTGGTTCCAGTCAGTTACACATCATCATTCCGAACTACGCTCCGACCAAATAATGAATAGTATCCACGCAAAAGCTGCGACTAGTGGTTCAGTACTCGGGATGATATAAGTCAATTGTTCACAGTAACGCAGGTGTATTCACTCGTCTCCTTTTACATGTTAAGTTAAAAGCAGCATTTGACTCGGTAGACCGCGAGACTCTGTGGCAGTGTCTGTCATTGAAAGGCGTACCTCAGAAGTACATAAACCTTGTGAAGGCTCTTTACTCGAACACTACTAGTCGAGTCAGGGCTTATGGCGAACTGTCATCTACTTTTGCAACCTCAAGTGGTGTCCGTCAAGGCTGTCCACTTTCTCCATTTTTGTTTAACTTCATCATAGACCTATTGATGGAAATAACACTCTCGTCGACTGAATTCTCGGGTATTGATATCCTTCCAGGAGGTCCACTTATCGACTTAGAATATGCAGATGACATAGTCCTGTTTGGTGAAGACGCTGACAAAATGCAGAGTCTTCTGGTAGCACTAAGCAACAATGCCAGAATGTTTGGAATGCGCTTATCTCCCTCTAAATGCAAGTTGTTGCTTCAGGACTGGTCTGGGTCAACACCTGAACTAAGGATAGGGAGTGAAGTAGTTGAACGCGTTGACAACTTCACTTATCTTGGAAGTCTGATCAGCCCTAATGGGTTGGTGTCTGACGAAATCTCAGCACGGATTCGAAAAGCTCGTTTGGCTTTTGCCAACTTACGTCACCTTTGGCGAAGGCGAGATATCCGTCTATCAATAAAAGGACGAGTATACTGCGCGGCAGTTCGTTCTGTTTTAATTTACGGCAGCGAGACATGGCCCTTAAGAGTAGAAGACACCCGTAAGCTACTAGTATTTGACCACAGATGCCTTAGAAATATTGCTCGCATCTGCTGGGATCACCGGGTAAGTAATAGTGAGGTTAGACGCAGGGTATTAGGGAATGATGGTAAATCAGTTGATGAGGTTATGAATCTTCATCGACTGAGATGGTTGGGCCACGTATTACGTATGCCTGAACACCGATTACCACGACGTGCAATGCTAACCGGGGTAGGGGATGGTTGGAAGAAAGTTAGGGCCGGCCAAACCAAAACGTGGCATCAGTGCCTGAAGTCACTAACTTCTAGTCTGAGCCATGTTGGTAGATGCAGACTACTTGGTTGGGGTCCGCGTGACTTTCGTAACCAATGGTTGGAGACTCTTGGTGACATGGCTCAGAATCGATCACAATGGCGTCGGTGTATACACTTCCTGTCTTCCCTTAAACTAAAAGATTAAAATCACTTCATTCTTTCTGTCTACGAACTAATTCTTTCTTCCTATACTATATCCTTATTGCAACCTTTGACCTAACCACTCCTATGAATCCGCTGTTCATCTTGCTGTGCTAATGAGGTATGGCAACCTGGACCGATGCACATATGTGCCTGGTCCTACGTTGTAGCTGACTGACTGACATGTTAAGTTTCCTAATTATCTCTTTAAAAGATCATTCACCGAATCCATATTTTCTCTTGAATCTTGTCCTCTATTCCTAATCTTTTCCACTACCATTGTTACTGCTACTAATTGTAGTAATCTGGTATCTCTATTCTGATATAGTGCAGCAACTTGAACTAATGCATATATATACCCAGTTCTGCGTTGCGTATGATTGACTGGGTAGCAATAGCAAACCTTACATAAAATAGTCTGTGGCTAGCAAAACGAAGTTCATGAACTTGTATATCACAAATATGAGTACTAATCATTACTAGTATATTATCATAAGAGGACGAAAATTATCGGAACTATGCTGTAAGTTGGCACAATACATTTCGGACAATGTGACCACACATATACTTGTTATGAACAATTATGCATGAAAATAAATAGTCAACTAGACAACTGGATAATCTTCGCCTTATTACACCATCTAAGTTTATCAAATGGACTAATTCCTGTTAATTTGAAATATTTGTATTTGGAGTCAATTACAATCAAATTACATTTACCCAATTAATCTACAGATCAGATATTTAATTGCATCGTTTTCCTGTCTTTTAATATAAACTGACACGAAAGTTTAGTAATGCAATTGTTGAAATTCACTTTAATCACGTTGTTCCAAAGTATTATATATCATTAGTATAAAGGGATTGTGGAGATTGTTAATTTCATAGTTTGCATTATAGCACCTGCCCTACAATTGGGTTTGTTTACGGGTAATTTTATCTACTACTTCAATTAATTCATTCAACAGACAGTGTTATTCGGACGGTAACAATTTGTCAATTCCTTTTTATTATTATTATTATTATCATGTCTGTATAAGCATGTATGTTTGATTACGTATAACGGCCTACGCGCATATTCCTCACTACACCTTAAATAGTAGTTGCTTAAAAGTCGCTCGATGAATCACTTGCTTTCCCACATATATATATGTGCTTGAATCTTATTAATTGATTCACTTCGTTTCGATTTGACTCGGAATCCGCCTATGTATTCGCTTGTTTGTGCGCACCAGCCTTTCTGCTCAAATTCACTTTGTTTGCATTATGATCTGTGCTATCCAATAATAAACTGTAGTCGGCGCTTCGTGTTGCCTTCTGAATTTGTACACTATCGGGATATACTTAATAAAGTTTATCAGGGTGATTGATAAACTAGGCTTGATGAATTATTTCTAAGCCAATCCACTACGATATTACGGACTGAGCATAGCTAAATGATCATAGACCAAGTGGCACTGAATATCTGTTTCGGCCTAGTATGGAACTTCTCAGTAATGTACATTCGCGACCCCATCAGTGATTGAGCTTTAAGACCTTCAGGTTTCGCCCAAACCACTGAGCCGGCAACCAATTCGTGATATTAGGCGGTGTATAACTATCACTCACATCCGACATAGTTGTGCTCCACTCTTCTTGGCTTCTGAGTTCGATTCTCAGTGGGGTCATTAACGCACACTAATGGGGAGTGCCACACCTTGTCCTTTGTCTCCTGGTTTTCAATGGTTGTTCAACTAATATCAACCCATCATTTAGACTCTGACGGTTATATATTAACTAATCGAAGTTTTTTGTGTACCATATTTTTACATCTCTTCTTGTTCATCATGATGACCTATATTTTTGTTTGCTTTGTTTTTTTCACACATTTACATATGTCAATCAGCTTTGTTTTAACTAACTAATAATTATGTATAGTCATTTTGGCAAAACTTTCGGTAAATCTATATATAATAGTTATGACTGAGTGAACCAATCTGATATAATATAGCCCCTCCCGGATTCGTGCCCGCAATTCAAAGCTCATTAAAAGATGATAACATGTGTCTTATTAAAAACTAAATGGAAATTATATTTGCCTAGTTCCTAAAAGTTCGATTGATAAAATGTCATTTGTACAGCGGCACTTTGTGTGTATGTGAAATGGTATGTAAATCAAACTTCGACAAACATCTGATTCATAGCGTGGTCAATAGTGTTTTTATGGATACAAATTATCCTAACATTCGTAACTGATATCTCTATCCAAACTCCTAATATACAAACCTAACCCTCTTTCGTCTCGTTTACTGTGATAAATAATCCAATATGTAAACGTTTGTTGAGATGTTTGGTTTCCAAGATTTTATACTATTATGTACTCTCTCTATACGCTAGTTCAACCTGCTATTCAAGCAAAAAACTGATATAGAGATTTTATTGACTAAGTAAGTCGTGCTGTATACGTGCTCATATATGAAAAGTCAATGACAGTGTAGGTCCCATTCCTAGAGTATATAACCTATTTCTTGGCCAATCCTGTGCATTTATCATTTGACCGATTTTTGATTGACCCAATGTATTAACGTTCATTAATCATGTGGAAACTTCACTTGTTGAGATTTATTATTTTTTCTTACATATCTTTATATAACCTAACATTGTTTCATGATTGACCGATAAGTCACTAAAGGTTGTCAGTGTTGTAGTTTACTTTTATCACACTTCTACACGTAAAATGTATATCTTTTTGTTACCTAATTGGACTTATCTTTCTTACTTGATAACAGATACTGCTATATTTGAAGGTATCGGAAACGATTACTTACCGACAACAAAGAAGCAATGCAAAAGTAACGATAGGATGGATTTACCATATGAGGATTCTAGAGTGTCGAATTCACGTAATCGTCTACCCGCTTCTAATACTACTACATCTGGTAGTAATAGTAACACCAATGCTGAATCAAATAGTGCACAAGCATCATACTTCGATATTCCCGCCAATGCTGATTCAGTCACAAATAATTCAATAAGTGCTACTAAAGAATTTTTAAATGAATTAAGTCAACGTTTTGATGTTAAAGATGAAAATAGGTTACAGGAAAAAGTAGGTTATATGCATATACGTATTTATTTATAAATGAGTAAATAAATCTTACGTAGGACTCAAGTAAATTAGACTGGGCAGTCGATTTCATTAGTTTATTTAAACATATAAACATTGGTACAAGGAGGCACTAAATATATATGTGCCACACAAATCATTTGATTTGCGTGAGGGCCGGGATACTGTCCGGGCGCCAAAACCGAAGCAGATGGTTTTCTTAGGGGTCCACTCCCCTAGTACTAGTATGCACAATGTTAACTAATCAGATTGTATACCTATTCATCGTTCCAACCAGAGATTATATGATGTGGTGATTAATTCTTGGCAAGGAATGTATTCACTTGAATAACTAGTTTCAAATCGGTTGATGAAAAGAAGGAAAGTTTACGGCGATATTTTAACTTCTCATAAAGCTCTGTGATAAGCATAATGATTAGGGCATCACTAAAACATTCACCACCAAGAATATTTTGCTGACAAATAGAACCCGGAAGTACTGGATGATAATTCCATCCTAGTGTAGGAATCCTCAGCAGTTCGCATCTGAAAATCGAACCCATTACCTCAGCCTCGCACGTGAACGCTAAACTCATAGATCATTGATCTTGCATCCTGTGGTATTAGCATTTAATTCTAATGAATTTATGATATTGCGTAACCTTCATTAATCGTTTGTGATGGATTACTGGCTAAGTAATAACATCGGTACAATTCACTCGACACAATCCAGTACGTGTTGATCAATTAGGGTCCTTAACGGGGTCAGTCAGCTACAACGTAGGACCAGGCACATATATGCATCGGTCCAAGTTGCCATACCGCATTAGCACAGCAAGATGAACACTAGATTCATAGACGTAGTTACTTCAATGGGGATAATATATAGAAGAAAGAACGGGGTAAACACAAACTATTAGGGACTACAGTCAAAACAGCAATATTAGAAAATAATTAAAGTGTTTATCAACATGTTCAGACCTTACCATCATTGTTATCTTCTTATAACATCTCATATCAATAAGGAATGACACAATCACTAAGTTTATTTGAAGTTAACAATTCATGTTAGTCATCGCCAAATTAAATTCCGCCTGTAGCTCTTCTAAAGTTAATGACGGTCACAAGCCCGGGTAAAGGAGGAGGGTTGGGCATGAGGTCGGACACCCCATCCGGTAGAAAAATATCTGGCTAAAAAACACCAACCAGATTAAACAAATTAAACCATTTAAACTCTACCCTGGGAGTCAAAGGTAGAATTATGACGCCTCAGAATGAAAGACGAGGTTCTTCGGAAGTCACGAGGCCGATATCCCTTCTAACAATCAGATCAATAATAATTATCGGACGCCTAACAAAGACTCGTGAACTGCAAACACGAGAGAACCAAGCTGGCTTCAGACCTGGTCGTGGCTGCATCGACCACATATTCACCATTCGTCAGGTTCAAGAACACAGGCATACTCATAGGCATTTGACAATGGTGGTCTTTCTTGACTTAAAAGCAGCATTTGACTCGGTAGACCGCGAGATTCTGTAGCAGTGTCTGTCATTGAAAGGCGTACCTCAGAAGTACATAAACCTTGTGAAGGCTTTTTACTCGAACACTACCAGTCGAGTCAGAGCTTATGGCGAACTGTCATCTGCTTTTGCAACCTCAAGTGGTGTCCGTCAAGGCTGTCCATTTTCTCTATTCCTGTTTAACTTCATCATAGACCTACTAATGGAAATAATGCTCTCGTCGACTGAATTCTCGGGTATTGATATCCTTCCAGGAGGTCCACTTATCGACTTAGCATATACAGATAACATAGTCCTGTTCGGTGAAGACGCTGATAAAATGCAAAGTCGTCTGGTAGGACTGAGGAACAATGCCAGAATATTTGGGATGCGCTTCTCTCCCTCTAAATGCAAGTTGTTGCTTCAGGACTGGTCTGGGTCAACACCTGAACTAAGGATAGGGAATGAAGTAGTCGAATACGTTGACAACTTCACTTGTCTTGGAAGTCTGATCAGCACTAATAGGTTCGAGTCTGACTAGACCTCTGTACGGATTCAGAAAGCTCGTTTGGCTTTTGCCAACTTACGTCACCTATGGCGAAGGCGAGATATTCGTCTATCAACTAAAAGACGAGTATACTGCTCGGCAGTTCGTCCTGTTTTAATTTACGGCAGCGAAACATGGCCATTAAGGATAGAACACACTCGTAAGCTACTAGTATTTGACCACAGATGCCTTAAAAATATTGCTTGCATCTGTGGGGATCACCGGGTAAGTAATAGTGAGGTTAGACGTAGGGTATTAGGGAATGATGGTAAACCAGTTGATGAAGTTGTGAATTTTCATCGACTGAGATGGTTGGTCCGCGTGTCACATATGCCTGAACACCGATTAACACGACGTGCAATGCTAACCGGTGTTGGGGATGGTTAGAAGAAAGTTAAGGGCAGCCAAACCAAAACGTGGCATCAGTGCTTGAAGTCACCAACTTTTAGTCTTAACCATGTTGGTAGATGCAGACTACTTGGTTGGGGTCCGCGTGACTTTCGTAACCAATGTTTAGAAACTCTTGGTGACATGGCTCAGAACCGATCATACTTGCGTCTCTAGTTAAAGCGTGAGATTAAAATTAATTTATACATTTCTGCGAACTAATTCTTTCTTACTGTATTATATCCTTATACACAATCTTTCTTTTATATATTACTACAATTAAAGTAACTACCTCTATGAATTTGGTGTCCGTCTTGTTGTGCTAATGAGGTGTGGCAACTTGGACCGATGTGTATATGTGCCTAGTCCTACGTTGCAGCTGACTGACGTGCCTTAAACCTAACCAATTTTTTGGATTATTAATTTAGATATGTAATTGTAGAACCCGAAGAAAGCTCATGGAAAAGAAAGTTCCTCGCTCGTATATCTACGTTTGAAGTTGTTTTGTTAAATAATTTAAATTGTTTTGTCTTACTATAAACCATATTATGTAGTTTCACCTATAAGTTTCTTGTAACTGTCAACTTTCTCAACAAACGTTTTACGGTAAATTCAGTTTATTTCGAATCTAAGAAAATGTATGCTTCACTTGAGGGTTATATATATTAGTGTGGCGAATTTGAGGTCAGTCAGTCAGTCAGTTTTCAAAGTTTAAATCACGAACTGGTCTTAGCTAAACCATAATTGAAACTTGAAAGCACTGGATAGCTGTTTCAGTCTGTTATGGAACTCAGCGGTGCATATTCACGGGGTATCCGGGAGTCCGATCCTATGACCTTCGGTTTCTCGTGTGAAGCTTTGTATATATATACAACACCTATCATTTAAGAAATCGGTAAAACGGCATTTCCGGATAGTTAAAATCTGCGTGTGTAACGAAGATGATCAGTTGTGAACCATGTATGCTAACTTATGAGTGTTATTTATTTTCATGTTATTAGTATTAACGACCACAGCTGGTCAGTTTCTACGTGGGATGTGTGCATCCTGAGCAGATTGGACCGATAATGCTATTTAGTCGCAAGTTCTTATTATGGTTGAACAGTAGCTAGTAATGGAGTCCACGACGAGCGTTTCGTTCTATTCAGGACGAAGGTGATGTAAGAAAGAAGATATCAATCAACAAACATAATGAATCTGTACTGTCTGGAAGCCACAACTCATGATTGCACAATTATGTCCTTTTTTCATAAATTTATTTTTAGGCAAGTCTTGAACGATTCTTTGCTAAAACTCAAGTCACGTGTTACGATGAATGTTATCCCGGTTTCGCTGAATCATACGATGCTATGGGTGATTCTGATGATGAAGCTGATTTTAGCAAAATGGATTTAGGTAATAAAAAAGGTCCAGTTGGTCGATGGGACTTTGAAACACAGGAAGAATATAGTGATTATATGTCGAATAAAGAAGCTTTACCAAAAGCTGCATTTCAATATGGTGTTAAAATGGCTGATGGTCGTCGCACACGTCGTATTGGACCAAAAGATGAAAAAGCTGAATTAGATCGTCAATTACAAAAAATACAATCAATCATACAAAAGCGTAAACAATTAGCTGAAGATAGTGGTCCAGTAGGAAAAAATGTCCGATTTTAAAAATTGGTATAATATACATGTACATTTATTTAACCTTTGGTTTTTAATTTGATTCTACATGAAATAACTTTTACATTCAGATATTTAGTTTATTTTTGCTTGTCGTCCGATTTTTTGTGAGATGTTTTAATCATTTAAGTTAGATTGTCGTCAAAATGAATTGGAAATAGTGCGTGAAAGTGATTACTCACTTCCTTTTTGTCAAATATATAGTTCTACTTATTTTCAACTTTTTATTAGATCTCTCAGTTCTCAAGGGTCGATGCGCTCATTCACTTTTTCAATCATACGTAGACGAAATGTTCCAAACTTAGGTTTTGCACTCATCAACAAGAAGTATTTACATTCTTGATATAACTGGGAATTATTGAACTTGTCACCAATAAGCTAGTCTTTCCACAACTAGTAGGAATGAAATATTTACACTAATTGGCAAGAATTATTATCTTACATATATTGAATAATGGCAAGCAGTGGAATTCAGTTTGACGCGCGTTTCGTCCTGTTTGGGACTCGTCAGCCGGATGTACCTGCATCCCAGAGTTGATGTTCACTCTGGGACTCGAACCCAGTACCATTCGCTCCAAACGCTATCACTTTATCCACTTAGCTACTGAGTCCCAGTAGTCACTTGTTTGTGCAATGGGGTGAATTTCGATTCACTTGGTATTGTTTTGCTTGAATCTTCCCATTGAGGTTTAAGACTGCAATTGATCAGTCTGTTATTGGCATATGTGCATACTGTGCGTATTGTCTCGATATTGCCTTGATTCACAAGCTTTATAAGCAATGATGGATAGTGGCTAGCAGTGGAATTCAGGACGCTAGCCACTATTCACACCCTTAATAATAACTAAATCCTTTGATCGAAACTTGTGAGGAATCTGTGAGGTGCGAGTTCCAGGACGTAATAACCAATGAAACTACGTGAACGTTATTCAAAAATATAATTATAACTAGAGAGAACTAAAATCTCTAGGCTTTCACACATTATGGTTATCTTAAACGGATTATTTGCTTCGCTATAAACAGATTTTTGGAGTAAGGACAATATTGAAGGTAGATAAATCTCGACAAATTGCGGCTGACAACTGGAACTTTTGTGAGATGTTTTTTGTCCCAAGAATGTTTGTGCACGTTCTTAGATGAAGCCGTAATATACCGGTTAGTATCATACCACAAGCAAAAAATGACTTGGCAACAGGTGAAATTTAGTCTATCGAGAAGTGAGCATAATAACAGCGAGTTGATCTTTCACTCTTCCAATATATCTATTCGGCTTCCTTTTATGGAATTATTTCCATTTTGTGGATTTAAATAAAGCCAAAACAAACATTGATGTGAGACAATATGAATTCATTATATTTCGTGATGTTCATCAGCTACTTGCAAACATATTTATAAACTTCGCTGGTCACTAACAAAGTCTGTTCTGCTTCTTGCCCTTCCGCTTTCCCTGTTTTTCATCACCCCTGTGGTACACCACCGGAAATATACATAGAACATATGACTTCGTCCTGCGACGTCGCTAATATTTCCGAGATTTATTTGGGAACACTATCATGAAGCACAAAATGACACGTTAAAGTTGACGTCTTTAGCTGATTGGTTATGCATTTATTGCATCATTTATTATGAACGGCTTTTGACTCTAATTGCATTCATCCTCGACCACTGATTGCTTGCCGCAACATGTAAATAGCAATTCGATCAGTTTGCTGGAATAACCGTCAAAGTAAATTCCCCAATCAAATGCGTATGCATTCCCAGCTCACTAAGCTTCCAACTAACTCCGACTGCCCGATTAAAAACACTGAGCCAATAAATCGATAAGTCAATAATTACTGATCAAAGGTAGTTTCTATCTTACCATTTTGCTATTTGCACACTTCTCTCCTTTCCTATAAGCGTTGTCCTCAAGCGCTTCCAATAACTTCCACAGAAACATTTTGTTTTTGAAATATAAGAGAACGAGAATCTGAAAGAAGTATGGAATATTTCGACGGGTACAGAACAAGAATATAAAAAGAACGCCGAAATGAACAGACGTCTCGTAACACAAAACGTTAAAGATGCCTTCACATGTAACACCTTTATAATAGGAGTATAATAATCCAGTCGAATCAGAACTGAAGGGGCTCGAAGATATATTTGAAAGACTATCGATGTGTGGAGAAGCTTTTGCTGTAGTGTGGCTGACAGTTGGAAGGGATGTGTCATATTGCGTACCCACTGGTGGTCTGGTGCAGTTGCATGATCGCGTGGAGATAGTAACAACAAAATTATTTTGTGGTTAGTTCTTTATATTATTTGCACTTCCTGTGTTAATTCTCACGATTCGTAGATTTACTACAAGTGATTGCAAAAGTTATTGAAAATTGCATGGCCTTGAATACTTTCTCTTCCTTTTTAAATACCACAGAACATGGCACACTGGTAACCGTTTATAGATACACTGCTACACTCACGCTCCTCTTTCCCAATTACCTATTGTTACAACAACTTAACCCTAAAATATCTATTATCTACATTTATAGACCACAACCATATTTCCATTATATACTCCATTCGGATATACGCTCGAATTATAACAATATTCATTGGGATCATTTATTACCAATAATTGCAGATTTTTATATCAAATGCATCTCGAACACTCCAAGGCCTGACAATTTCAGTAACGTCCTCTAAAGTTTTCGTGTGTTTATGAATTATACTTAATATATTAGTACATTAATTTTTGGGGACAATAACTATATTATCATCTTTTGAGTTAATACAATATTTGATCCAACACAATAATCTGGTGAACCCGACGATTTTTCTGTTTTACCTGAATCTCAAGTTTATTTTTCAAATGATGTAATCTTCTAATGACCTTAGTGATACTGTGGGTACCCATTTAAATACTCATGTAGCGGTAAATAAATCCCCAAAATAAATAGCTCTGTAAGTTTTCGACATTGGGTGCTGACCATATGTTTTAGTGGACTCATCTAGCTGAAGGCGCTCGGTCATGCATCCGCACCAGATCACGTGTGGTAACACTGTGCTCAACACCTACCGCAATCGCTAGCCAGATTAGATCAGAGAATTCCGATATATTAGTTATCGCCAATTACACTCTTCCGATCTCCTCAACTCTGTCTTTTGATTTCTCGTGGTGGGTACGAATTATATTATAAGGTGTTGCTGGTAAAAGCGTTGTCAAACATTGAATACCTGTGCCATCTTCATTGGTGAGGCCGACGTGATCTGGTACACCTAATTGCAACTGTGAGTCTGTTCCTTTTTGGGATTTTTATATATTATTGCCTTATTTTTTAATTTTTATACATAGTGATATTTTTCCCCGTGTCTCAGGATATCTATATATTTTTCCCTCGTATTCTCGTACTTAATATTCCCCTATGATCGAACAGACTCCTAAGGTATTCAAGATTAAGACCATGTCCCCACCTTCGTTCCAACTCATGCTTTTCTGGCCCGACAATATCGATGCCTGGTTCTTCTACGCAGAAGCCGACTTCCACGATCACGGCGTGATCGACACACGTGCACAATTCCTCGCAGTAGTCAAGGCACTACCGCGGGAATTCAACAGGTACTTTTTACTTTATGTAAATGAATTGCCAACCGTAGCAAAATCATCCGTTCTACTCTTCGCCGATGACATAAAGATTTGGAGACCCATGCATAGTATGTCGGATAGAATAGTATTACAGGACGATCTTAGCTCATTGGTAGCATGGTTAGACAGGTGGTCACTAGAAGTAAATCCTAATAAGAGTGCAGTAATGCAGCTAAAAAAACTCTGATGAATCGTATGACTATACTCTACGTGGATTGGTGCTACCCAAAGTAAGAAACTATAAAGATTTAGGAGTTATATTAAGCAATGATCTCAAAACCACTAATCACTGTAAGGCTGATGCTGCAAAAGGCTATAGGGTATTATGGTCAATTCGTAGGTCTTTCCAGTATTTAGATGATGAAATGTTTAGATTACTATACCCGATTTATGTGCAACCACATTTAGAATACGGGATTCAAGCAGCGTGTCCTTGTTTCAAGTATGAAGCAGATATACTAGAAGGAGTCCAACGATGAACTACTAAGATGGTACAAGGTCTATCTGGCCTATCTTATGAAGACAGACTGAAACACCTTAACTTATTTCCGCTATTTTACCGTAGAATACGGGGTGATCTAATATTGGTCTGTCGTATGCTTGTGGTGCGTGCTACTTATATTGATATAAGTAGTATATAACGTGAGTTAAAAGAACGTAATGTCTGGCAGCAGAAGATGGAGAAGATCAAGAAAGGAAGAGCGAGAACACAATGGAATTTGTAAGAAATCGCATGAACAATGAAATGTGAGACAGTGGATTGGGGTTTGCAACAGCAACAGTCCGGTTTGATATGATGGAATGATATTTTGCAAATTAACGATTGACTATATGGTTTTTCTATTTTACCAAGTAATTCTGTAATTTGTTCTGAATACAATTTGGTTGTCCTCACCCGTGTTCTCCTTCACAACATACTGAACGATGACCTTGGTATTAACATGTCTCATCTTTTGCTTCCGTCTAGAACCGATCATTTGAGAGGACATTCGAGTTCCGTTTCTCGCACCAAGTAGTGAATTACTGGAATTCTCTACCGGAACATGTAATATCAGCACCGTCTGTTAATATATTCAAAACGAGGTTGGACCTTAACAGTATTACAAACTGCAAGGATTAATATAGGTCGATAGACCGCCTATCTTTATTACTGAAGACTGAAGGTACGTAACACCTAGTATGTTTACTAGTGATGTTTCTGAACCGTACGAAACCTTCAAGCGTTCGATTCCTAAACGAGGAGACCTAACCGATCGACAAAGGTTAGATCAACTCTTAAATAACATAGACCTGCAGCACGGTTCTGTGGCGGACATGTTGCAAAGGATGAGAGAGGTTATGGGCCTAAGAACTTTCGACGAAGGTCTATTCAAACAACTTTTCTTGTCCAAACTTCCCCAACAGGTGCAAGCGGTTCTGGTCTCGTTTCAGAACAACACCTTAGACGAACTGGCTGCATCTGTCAGTCGTACCTTAGAAATAACGAAATCTTCTACTACCGAGGTTTTTTCAGTCAAAGAAAAGCCTCAAACTACTCAGAATGACATAACCGAGTTATGTCATACACTTACGCGTTATCTTAATTTTCGT